GGTTTGGATCAAAATATAAGGATTTGAAGAATGCAGTCCAGATTTCTGATATCTTTCTTTTGGAGGAAGTGTTTTAACTGCTCTAACACTATACAGAAATAATTTCTTCCTTCCCTCACTGGAATCTAATTGGGCCCTTCATGGAGCACATACACCCAGATGGGATCCACCTGACCTAGTTTTGGACACTTAATATCTTGATAATTAGATCTGAGTTAGCTGTCTGAACTGTTTTCATGATGAAGAAACAATTGTATAGCACCATCCCTCTCAGTTAAAATAAATACTCATAATAAATAGGTCCAAGTAATAATTTCCTAGAAATGTTGTTAATTATAAGGGGAGACCAAGGTGACTAACAGAGACACAGATCATAAACACACAGCATAATTCCTCAATAAGTCTCCAGACCAACCTCCTGCTCACTGAAGTCAGACCAGGTTGCTCAATGTGTGTCCAGCCAAGTCTTGACCACCTTCAAGGTCAGAGATGGCAAAACCTCGCTGGACAGCCTGCTTCTCTGCCTGACTGCCCTCGTGTGGAAAAAATTCTTTCTTAGTCTAGTCTGTCTCACTTTGTGTTTGTCATCTCTTCTCACCATGCACCATTGGGAAGAACAAAACTTCATCTCCTTGCTCACCTCCCCCAGGCACTGTTAGGTGAGGGCTTCTACTAGGTGTCCCCAAATCCATGATTTCTTCAGGCTGAGCAAGCTCTTGTCCACAGCATCTTCTCACAGGCTGCAACCACTCTGATGATTTTCCACTGAACTCACCGCAATGTCCTCTGTCAGGGGGTCCAAAACGGAATGCAGTATTTTCACAACCATAGAATGTTTTGAGTTGGAAGGGACCTTTAAAGGCCATCTGGATCAACTCCCCCTGCTGTGGTCAGGGACAGCTTTCACTGATCATGTTGCTTCAAGCCCCATCAAGCCTGGCTTTGAACTTTTCCGGGGATGGGGCATCATAAATTTTCTGCGTAGCCCACCAATCAGTGTGCGCAGCAGGAAGGGCCTAAATACAGGGAAAAACAAGGGACTTGAGGACGAAGTGGTGGCAGGAAAAACCTCAAATCAAAAAGTGTTTCTGCTTAGGATAAGATTGAAACAGCCATGCAAGTCCCTGTGTCTATGTCTTGTCTGTCTGACCTGCTGAGGTCATGCTGTGCAGTCTTGAACCCCAGACAGAACTGACATGGAGGCACTGCGGGTCTCCAGTTTTTGTCTAGTCTCAGTACCTCTTTCTTTCCCTCACAAATAAATAAGAAATTGATGCCAAAATCTGCCACAATGCCTTGTAGCTGGCTGTGCAACTTCCCTGAGAAATATGAAAATATTCCTGGGTTTGAGAATACAAACATTATTGTTGTGGTCACACACTGGTCAAGTAGTGAAAATTACTCACCCAGTTTTGTCAGAGGAAAGAAATCCCCCAGTACTGACTCCAATTCTGGCCACTTCCAGCTAGGAATACAGAACAACTAGTCACAGCCAGGGAACCTGGACTACTCATCATCCAAATGATGAACAGAAGACTTGTCTTGCACAGAAATTGTGAAACAAGGGTTTAGGTCTTCTTGTATAATTTTGGCTGAGTACTCCTTCTCAGCTAAATTGGGAAAATGGGGCTAATATTGCTATTTTCTGTTTAGCTTTTAAACCTTTCTACTACAATCTTTAGCTAAGCATTGACATTCTGACTTCTCAGCATCAGCTGTAATATATAGGTATTTCAAAAAATAGGAACAGTCAAATAGAAAAACAGCAACGTAGCATTTTGCCATGTTGCTGGCAACAACTGTGTTTCAATGCTCGAGATGAAATGCAGACTAAAGCAAAAAAAACCAGCCATGTAGTATATCATTATTTTGAATGGCTGCAAGAATCCTTTTCCGATCTCCTTGTCCATTATACCAGAACCATGACCTTGTATTTTCCTCACCACTACAGGCTTGCTTGGAGATCACTGGTGGTAGCTGACCTTGATAGTTTGTCACAAACAGAATCCCCATGCACTTCCCTTGACTTCCCAGACCCCTGCCTCATCCCCATAGACATGTCTAGTCACCCGGATTGCTGGCTGACCTGGTTCCCATCATCACCTCTCCTCTTTTCCCCTTGTTTGTGTGGTGGGAATTGCTGTCCCAGCAGCCCCTCCATCCCTTCCAGCTGCCAGCTACACTGGCCTTGTAGAGTATCCCAGGGCTGCTGCATCCTGACAGAACCCAGCTGTACAGCAGGCAGCAGACAGCTGCATATTGAGCATTAGGAGATGCAGCTGGAAAATTTTATTATAGGTTGTACTACTGATATTCATGGAAGTGCTTGCAATATTTCGAAACAAATAACTGTTCTTTCTCATCCAAGTCTCTCCTTATAACACTGTCTCTCTTCCCCCACGATGGCCTTGTACTTTACTGCTGTGTGTGTGCCCCAAAATATCAGTAGCTAATGTTATGGATAATGTTTAGGCATGAACACAGCTACTTTCTATGTATTTGCACAAACACAAACATGCATTTGAGGATCAATAAATAACAGAGAAATAGAAAATGCCAGAATTACATTGTAAAAAGGCCAAGCTAAGACATTAACAACTTTTTTATTGTCTAACTATATGAAAGCCCTTTGCCTTCTCTGTATGTTCATTATCCTGTAGTAGAACAATTATCCAATATATATTAGATTATTTTGCCTACATAGATATTGGCCTATCTATAGCCCAAATAATCTTGGGCTATAACCTTGAGAAAATCAATAGAAAATGTCTGCAGGGTTTTTCTTAATGCTAAGATGTTACTTCTTTAATTTCACTTATTAAAATAGTTTCTGTGTGTGTGTATGTGTGGGGAGATTAACTATACTCCACTTAAGTTATAGTTTATTAACTTTATAATTTTTGCCCAAAAAAATTTAGATTATCTCTTCCAAAGTCATTTCATGTATTCAGCTGAAACTGCCCACTGACTCCATATAAAAATTTACTTTAGTGGGGTCATACATGAATTAATTTAATCCACTTAAATATGGCTGGACTTCAAAGCCAGCTGGTATTTTCTTTGCATGGCTTAGCTGAGACCTTCTTAGTCAGCAGAGCTTGGTCCTCCTCTTAACTTCTCCTAATTTGACATGGTATCTATCCACAGGCTTTCAACATCCTCCTGAATAAATAGTGAGGAGCACTGTTTTTTAAACCAACAAGATTGTAATAAATGTTGACTGGAGTCAGATTCTGGAGCTGAAAGATATCTCTTTCTATGTGTCTGTGTCTATGTTTCATTGCAAATAAATTTAAAGGAATTATTTCTGTACAAGTCCTGTCGTAACCTGTGACTGCATTATTATCAATATTTTTAAAACTTCTGATAAAATTTTATGTGTGTGTTTTGCCAAAGCTCTTTGAACATTAAAGAAACTTCCCTGTCTGACCATCCAGGAGTCACTCTGGCAGTCACACTCCCACCACTTGAGACTGTCACTGGTGGGACAGAGGTCCCTTCACATCGGGTGACTTCAGAGGGCTGACAGGTGTTGGAACTGTCTTGACATTCCACTCTCACACATCCCATTCTCATACAGTCAGACCAGGTCTCCATACCGGCTCAACCCTTGGATTTCCACAGCAGAATCTCAGACATCTGGATCCCTAAAATAATTTAATCATGGTTCAATCACAGAATAACAGGCCAAGCTGCTGCCCCTGAGGACAGACCCTGAACAAAGGGCTCCCTAGGCTTTCAAACCCTCACAGGCTGTGCATGGTACAGTCTGGGGTCTTCCAGCTGAGTGCTCGGCTCCTGCCGTGTCCCTGAGTCCCCGGTCACCTGGCTGGGCCACAGGACCCTGTGCCCTCTGTCCTGCAAAGGGACAGCAGCTCATGGCCTCTTGGCTGGGGCTCCCACACCCTGAGCTCAGCCTGCACCTCAAACTGCAGCTGCACCGTGAGCTACCGGCACTGAATGTATCCCTCAACATGAATATCAAAGTGACTTCTAACCATGATTTCCTGATTACAGATCAACATGGAAACAGAAAAAGGATACAGAAAACAAATAAATTACTCTTTTAAAAATGTTTTCATATCTCTAACTCCACGGCCTAAATTTTAAAATGCCATCAGTTATTTTGCATGTTTTTTTGGGAATGTCACCTGAATTATAAATGTGCCTGGTTTAGATAAAATGTCACATTTAGAAAACTAAGCAATCACTCTCAGAATTCCTGTCCCTTTTAAAGTATCTCAGGTGGAAAATTTAAATACTTGAAACCACAGGCTGATATTTGTAGGTGTAAGATAAATATAGAAGAGGTCCCACTACTGTTCAGATTCTTCCTAAAGTTGATTGACTTATGTAGGGGCAGTCATGTGCAAGTTCTTAATGTAATAGTTGCACAACATGCAAGAAACTTTTTTGTTGCTTTTTGTTTTTAAACAAGGCATAATATGAAGGAGTTTATCTATCAGATTCCCTTGAACTTCCTTTTCTTTTCATCCTACTTCCTCCATTGAAAGGAAGCCCTCCATTGGTTTGTTTACATATACTTCATTAGATTAAACTAATCCACGTGTATCTTAGTGTATTTATAGTATATATCATTCCCTCATGGATACCCTTTGCTGGTGACAGTAATTTCTATTTTTAGTTGAACAACATATTTACTGAGTGCTGGTGCAAGTGTTTGGCTTCAGATTTGTAACACAGTCAAGGTTTACCGAGCCAACAATTTCGTGGACATATTAATATAGCTGATAATGAAGATCCAAATACTTGTGTACAAATTCTGTTATTCTAACATTTCCAAGAATTATATGTCTAAAATTCTGTCAGCTTCACTCCTCAGAATGTGCATAGAATTGTTGGTTTTTTTTAAAAAATTAAACCCCATAAAATATAGAAGTACCTAACAGGAAAA